ATACTCCTTGTGGAATTATGGTGCGTGGAAGTACCACGCGTGGAATTATGACGCGTGGAAGTACCACGCGTGGAAAAAGCTATGTAAAAGGCCCTGAGGGAGTCGAAAAATCTCTATATGCCTCCAACCGCAAGGTCGTTGACACACGGTAATATTCGCGCAGTGCCAAAATGGTGGGTGTCGAAGCGGAGGAGGGTCGATTTCGTGTCCCCGATTCGAAACGTTCTAGCAATTCCCTCGGTGAAGCTACCGGTCCGCGTGCACACGCTTTATTTTCCAGCAGGAAAGAGAGAGAGCCGGTCTGACAATCGTCAAGAAGAGGTCAGTAGTGCAGTTTAGCCACGGTATAAGAGCAGCCCGAACATCAGTTGTTGCTCCACTGAAGTAGCTGAACGTTGCACGGTGTCACCATGAGCGCATTGTGGAACATAGTGCCGTGGTTCCTAGGTAAGCCCTCCATCTCCTTCGTCCCTAAAAAACCCTCCATTCGAACACATCGTACGTTCACATGGAATTAAGAAAAAAATAAAAAGAAACCAAAAGATTACAGCAGCCGCGTGACATCGGAAAATACCGGCCACCTTTAATCGGGCCAATTCATCTCGTTCAATCATTCAATTCACGTATCGCGGGTGTACGGTTAGGTCGAACAACGACGGGCATGCGGCAAACATTTACGGGTTACTCGTAATCGTACCCGAACACGTTTTTCAGCCGCACGTGTCGCCATCGACTCGCCCTGGGAGTACGGTCCCGAGTACACGTTCCAGGTCCGAGTGAACTCCACGGCGATTCCGGAAGAAGGCAGCTACGTCAGCATCCGGTTGAACGTCACTTCCAAGCTGGTATGCCAGCCGAAAGGGTTTCACGTGTTGAGCTGTCACTTTCGGGACTCGAAGGCGGACAGTTACGTGACGGAGACCTTGGATCCCGGAATACCGGAGGTGCCGGTCAGCCAGGAGGCCTACGAGATCAACCAGGATCAGTTCGAGATCAAATTCAGCGAACAGGGTTTAGACAGTCTGGTGGTCAACGAGAACATACAGCCACGGGAACTTGATATGATCCGGGTGATCGTTGATCAACTTAACATCGGCGTTCTCCCTGGAAAATACAGGGAAACATTGATGGCGCTCGAGAATTACACTCTTGGGGAGTGCATGACGGATTTCGACGTGGATCGCAACGTACTGGATTATCCTACGCATCTGAACAGTGATTATCAACTGCTCACGATGTTCAAGGTGAAGGACGGACAGGTGCTGCAGATCAGGAAGAGGAGACATCTTCACATGTGCATGCACAGGGTGCCGTACTTCTTCGGGAGCGCGGAAAGTTTCAGGGAGGTCAGCGATGTGGTGTCCACTATTGTGAGTATCTGGAGTGTTAAACACGTTTGAGAGTAGGAAAGTTAGTTGACGAAAGAACAGTTGGATTGGGTGGGTTGAAGTGCGAGTACCGCGTGTGCCTGACAAGAAGTCTTCCGAAAATTCTTGATGAAACAGGTACGAAATCACACTAATAATAATGATAGTTATTATTAGTTATTACTAATAATCATAGCTCGTGTGAAATGAGATGGAGTGCATCTGGACCTGTAGAAATTTGGGAAACTTCTTATGAGACATGCCATTCAAGCTTTTTGAATAAGAATTTAGGCAATCAATAAATAGAGTGAAGCAGTTGCAAGTAAAAGGTGGTAGGAGTCAATGATTTTGCTTTAATTTTATGATGTGATTACTGACGATATGATGTGTAGTATATCAACACGTGGCGATGCAATGCATGGTAATACAACGCGTAGTAATTCAATATGTAGAAGGCGAAGATGATATACCGGGTGGTTATATAGTAGATAGATGTCTAACACGTGGCAATACGGGGTATAATGATACAACGCGTACTTTTCCAACGCGTAGTTAGTTAATGTGCAACTACCTAACGATTAGTTATCAGGTACTTAACTATTTGGCACGTAGTTAGCTGATGCTTAGATATCTAACACGTACCTAGCTGACACTTAGCTATCTAACGCGTAGATAACTAATATGTACATATCTAATGCGTGGTTATTTAACACGTAGAAATATAACGCGTGGTTATCTAATGCGTAGAAATATAACGCGTAGTTAACCAACGCGTAGATATATAACGCGTGGTTATCTAACGCGTAGATATATACCGCGTAACTATTAAACGCGTAGATATATACCGCGTAACTATTAAACGCGTAGATATATACCGCGTAACTATTAAACGCGTAGATATATACCGCGTAACTATTAAACGCGTAGATATATACCGCGTAACTATTAAACGCGTAGATATATACCGCGTAACTATTAAACGCGTAGATATATACCGCGTAACTATTAAACGCGTAGATATATACCGCGTAACTATTAAACGCGTAGATATATACCGCGTAACTATTAAACGCGTAGATATATACCGCGTAACTATTAAACGCGTAGATATATACCGCGTAACTATTAAACGCGTAGATATATACCGCGTAACTATTAAACGCGTAGATATATACCGCGTAACTATTAAACGCGTAGATATATACCGCGTAACTATTAAACGCGTAGATATATACCGCGTAACTATTAAACGCGTAGATATATACCGCGTAACTATTAAACGCGTAGATATATACCGCGTAACTATTAAACGCGTAGATATATACCGCGTAACTATTAAACGCGTAGATATATACCGCGTAACTATTAAACGCGTAGATATATACCGCGTAACTATTAAACGCGTAGATATATACCGCGTAACTATTAAACGCGTAGATATATACCGCGTAACTATTAAACGCGTAGATATATACCGCGTAACTATTAAACGCGTAGATATATACCGCGTAACTATTAAACGCGTAGATATATACCGCGTAACTATTAAACGCGTAGAAATCTAATGCGTAGATATACAGGGTTTGTCCAATAAGTATCCGGATTGATGTCCTAAAAT